ACAAGAGTGATAAAAGCTGGAAATACTGTAAGAACCTCTGACTTGTTCCTCAACAAATATACCCAGGTTGCTCTTGAATGATCATCCACTATAGTTAAAAAATATCAATATCCATCAATAGATTCAACTGAAAACGGTCCCCAGATGTCAATATGTAATAACTCCAAGTTCGTATTACAAATATTATTCTGAGAATGATAAGATAACTTCTTCTGCTTAGCCAAATGACAAATATGGCAGTAAGCTAAACCCTTATTCTTATGTCTAGTAGTGCCTAAAGACTCAGAAATAACATCTAATCTGCTGAATGAAGGATGCCCCAGTCTCTTGTGCCACATACTAACATCCACCACTGCATTCACTGAAATCTCTGTCTCCTCAACGTCCAAAACATATAGATTAGCCACTCTTCTACCCTTTCCAATGGTCAACTCCTTGGTAAGATCCTGAATTTCACAAGAACATGGATCAAACACCACTCTGAAACCAAGATCAGAAGTGAGAGAACTAATACTGATGAGATTTAGTCTGAATTCCGGGATAAACAACACATTCTGGAGCAAAATGTGTTTGTTGATCCTAATGGTTCCTACACCACTAATTTTAACAGTAGGTCCTGTAGGCAAGTTCACACAGCTAACAATAGCAGTATCCAGAGTAAGAAACAAGCTTCTATCATGTGAGACGTGATGTGTTGCTCCAGTATCTATAACCCATGTCTTAGGGGAAATAGTGTTTCTGGATACTGTCAATATACCAATGAAACAATAGGTAGAAGAGGAAAACGAGATACCAGTGTTATCATTCGGAGATGTACTAGCTTCAGGAGAACCAAAACTTGACTGAGGCTGAAGCTGAGAACTAAACAGAGCGATGAACTGTTGAAGCTGATCCTTACTAAGATTACCAATGACTGCATCTAGACTGTTAGTCGCAGAATCAGGAGAGGGTGAAGCCAAAGTAACCTGAGCAGCAATGGGACGGGGTTTAACATTCTTATCAGGTGTCTTTCCCTTAGGTGTGAATCCAGGAGGAAATCCATGCTTCTTATAGCATCTTTCAGCTATATGTCCCACCCTGTTACAAAAGGAACAAATAGGTCTACCCTTGTTTGGTCAATTTTGCACATAACACACAGTGGGATCCTGACCAGAAGACTCAATAGCAGATACTTGAAAAGCAGCAGGTGGAGCAACTACATTGGAGAAACCCTTTTGACTATCATCTTGGTCAAGGATGTTGTAGACTTCAGCCAATGTAGGGAGAACCTTCTTCAGGATGATTTGTCTCCGTATGATAGAATAAGAATCATTAAGTCCTGCCAAAAACTTAACAATCTTAGCCCTATCTGCCTTCAATTGCAGACGAGTAGCCTTGCCACAAACACACGGATCATCTGGTTCTTCTGTGCTTTCCAAATTTCCCCATAAGGTCTTCAGTTTAGTGTAGTACTCTGACAAAGACATGGCTCCTTGGCGCAAGTCTTGTATCTCTTGAGTGAGATTGAAAGTCCTTGGCAAATTACTCATATGAAAACGACTGTGAAGATCACACCTAATATCAGAAGCATCTTTCATACGTAAAATGCTCCGATAGATCTCCGATGACACCGAATTCAAAAGCCATGACTTAATCATACTATTACATCTAGACCAGATGCTAAAATATTGATCAGATTCAGCAGGACGAGTTAAGGAACCATCGATGAATCCTATTTTTCCTTTTGAATCTAACGCAATACGCATAGCAGCTTCCCAATCATCATAGTTTGTGCCATCTAAACGAAGAGCAACGAGAGTCAAACCTGGATGATCGGCGCTGTGAAGAAAGAACGGAGAGTGCGATGGATCTGAGAATTCCGATGATGCATTTGCTCGCGATGCTCCAGAACTACGAGATCTAGTAACTGGAGGAGAGATCGGAGGAGATTCAGCAACACCGGTAGATCGTGACACTTTCTGAGCTGAAGAACTTGTTCCAGACTTCGATCGAGCAGATTTCCGAGCTATGACAGCTTTCACCATTGTAGAGGATGGATCTAGCGCAAAGAAAACGAAGAAATCAGATCGAAATCAATGGAGATCTGAGCTTGATGGCTCTGATACCATATTAGCGGAAGAGAAACGATGAGAGAAAAGTTGTTATGAAGATAATTTTCTCATTCAGATTAGGAAGAATCTTTCTAAGAGGTTTATATACAATTGCTCAATCTCGGTTTACTTAACCGGATCTAATCTAGCTACTAAATCAATACATTAATATACACATATATACTCCAATAGGAAGCCTTTCTTTTACTAGAACAAGTTCACCATTTTATTCATTGGTACAAAACAAAACAAGTCACGAGCGTGATGGGAAGGAAGATGGTGATGGGTGATTGTGATGGTGATGTTCTTTATTTCCCTTGGTCGAAAAATATTGCTTTTATAAAAAGGGAAATCACAGCTACTAACCGGCAACGATGCGTAAGGCGTCTCGAGCATATCGTATTGAGTTTCAAAAGACAAGAATTAGAATCATTTCAAGCAACAATTAAGTTTCTTCTTTTAATCAGAGTAATGCGAAAAGCATTTTGGAGTTTCATTTATAAGATGATAGCCAATAACGAGTATGTGAAGGGGGGACGTAACAGATTTTATCTGTTAGCCTGTAAGGCTTCCGATTGGAAAGCAGGGTCACTTCCACTCTTTCATCGAAATTGTGTTCAATTTCCTCTATTTGTGTCAACGGTTGTATGTGAATGGTTCATGTATTGTGTAAAATTCTTTATGATATAATATATTTGTTTTGCCGAAAAAAAAAAATCTATACAGATATTATTAGTTCAAGTATTTTCGGATTATATTTAAAATTTTGGTACATGATAAATTTACTATTTACTATAAAGTAAATAATATCAATAAGAGAATGAAGTGAATGCCCCAAATTATAAAACAAATCTGAATTGGGTCCAAGAGATCCAACTTAAAAGCCCAAAAAGGTCCAATAATTTAAACAAATTCTCTGAATTGTATACTCTTAGCTGTTAGCTGTTAGGGAATAGTGTAAAGCTGTACAAAAGAATAAAACACGAAAGCTATACAAAATAATAACGCAGAACAAATTTTAAAAAATTATTTTGATTGGAAACATCATAGCGGTACACATAATAAATAATATTAAAAATTTAGAAAGAAAGAAAAAATTATATAGAAATGTACTTTAGTATATAATTATATATGAAAATTAAGATTATATATAATGAACAATATTTTATTGTTAGAATAATAATATGAATTTACTAGTCCTATAATAAATAAAATTTTCTTTATTTTGAGCAATATAACATTCCAAAATAATTGTTTGAAAAAAAAACCATTATTTTTAATGAGATTTTTTCATAGGCTGTATTATTTACTTTTTCGGAAATCTTTATCTGAACATTCAAGACTTTTTTTTTTTTGCATTATACATAGTTACAATTATATTTTATAAAGTTTAATTATGCGGTTAATAATACGGTTAACCGTGCGGCTAATCGTACTGTTAAATAACGGTTTTGATACGTTTCCGGTATATTAACGGTTACGGTTAGTATATTTTTTTTAACCGTAACTAATCTAGTTTTACGGTGAATGGTTATGGTTTTTAACCGTTTTATACAGTTACGGTTGAAAAACGGTCCAGTTACGATCCAAAATACGGTTATGGTTAGCTTTTGGTCATGCTTACTAGGCATGACCAAAAGCTAACCATAACCATATGTTGTACCGTAACCGGACCGTTTCTCAACCGTAACCGTATAAAACGGTTAAAAACCGTAACCGTAAAAATAATTAGTTACAGTTAAAAAATATATTAACCGTAACCGTTAATTAACGGTAAACATATGAAAACCGTTATTTAACCATATGGTTAACCGCATAGTTAAAACTTTAAAAATATAATTGTAACTCCATATAATACAAAAAAAAATTTTGAATATTCAGATTAAGATTTTCAAAAAAATAAATGATACCGCATATGAAAAAATCTACGTTATAAAAAATGGTCTTTTTCTTAAATAAATATGTTATACTGTTATTTTGCTCGAAATGAAGAAAATTTGGTTTGTAACATACTTTTTGATTTTATGAAAAGTATTATAATAAGTTAGGTAACTCGTAAGATTTTGCCTCCGATATAACCGTATTTTAGTCATCAAATAACTATAACCGTAATTATCCGTAACCGTTGTAACCGTAATCGTTATAACCATATTTAACCGTAACCGTTATAACCGTATTTAATCGTAACCGTATTTAACCGTAACTGTTTTTAATTTATTTTTGTTTTTGTCCAAAAAACAGTTTTTTTTTTTTTGTTTTTTAGTGTACCACTTTTCATAAAACTTTTGTGATTGAAAGCAGTAGAAAGCTGTATAGCTTTAAAATTGGTTACCAATCATAGCCAAAGTCTCTTCCTTTAACAGTTTCGCCGATTTCGAATTCCGAAGCTTTTTTGTTTAGAATGGAGAAACGTTCAGATACAGAGAGTTCAGAGATTTTGGGCGATTGGGATTTGTCTCCTCCTCCGGTGAATCCGGAAGAACGAATCGTATTGGTTTCTGTTCCCACTTCACCAGAATCTGAAGATGCGAGATCGAATCAACCGAAAGAGATTGAAACTAGGGTTTCAGACAAAGAAATAGCTTCGACATCAACTGTCGCTGGAAAAGCAGCGGCGGCGAGGAGAGTATTGCCGCCGTGGATGGAGCCGTCGTACGAATGGGGTGGTGGGAAATGGAAAGAAGACGGAAGAAAGAAGAAGAAAGAGAAAGAGAAAGAGAAAGAGAAAGAAGAGATTATTCCTTTTAAAGAAATCATTGAAGCTCTGCTTCGGAACTCCGGTGACAAGGTTGAAGAAGACAAGGTTAATCAAAGTCAGAGCTCTGTTGAGATTTTGAAATCAATGGGCTTTAAGTTTCCTTTGTAAACTTTTGGGGCTTTTTCTAATTTTATAAAGTAACATTTATAAAGTTCAGAAACACAGAAGTATCATTTAGTTATGAAGATATCATAAGGATCCATTACATTCGTACAACGCAAGATACTGAACCTACTGTCAGAAAGAAAAAAAACATCTAGAACCACACTATAGTTGGTTTTGATATTACAGGTCACGGACCTAAGTAAGTACTATCTTCCCAAAAAACCAAAAACACAAAGTTTCCATCTCAAAACACTAACCCTTTCAAAAGTCAACATAAGGTTGACCAGCTTTTCTTCTAAGCTCAAACTTGAACAAAATGTTACCTTGAGGGCCTCTCTCTTTCCTATACTTCTCCACCATGTATAAACCATCATACACATAATCCTTTCCTCTATGGTCCAATCTCCTTTCGCCGCGGATCACTCGTACCGGAGTCTTTTCCTTAATGCTATTAGCTAAAGCCAAATTGCCTCCAACAAGCTTCTGATCTTTGATTGCTTTTTGATCCTTGCTCTTCACATTACCTCCTTGACCACAATAGATCATCACATCGTTGATGAATCTATCGCCGTAATCATTACCTTCAGATGAAACAATGCTCGTAGCTACTTCCTTGTTTCCTTTCTTCATGTAATCTATCCCACCCATGATGTCAAAGTGAAGACCGATTACATTGAGTGCTGCTTTGAACTGAATTTCATCTCCAACCTCGATTCCGGGGACTGGTCCAATCCTCTTATGACAGTTCACTTGCATCCCCATTTCCCTCAGAATATTCCGAGTTTGGTAATCTATCCTACTCTTGGCAGTCTCTGATTCACCTCGCCGTGCTGCCTTGTTACGATCTAGCTCATCAAACACAAGTTTGAAAACACGCAAAACCTCTTGAACTTTCTCTCGTGGGCTAAGATCTTTAGAAAGCCGGTTTCGTTGTATATCCGAGAGAACTCCAAGTTGATTTGACAGCCTTGGTCTATGAGCATAACTCAACTTCTTCTTCCCCGGTGAGTATCTATGTTTCTGCACAACAGCATTGGCTCTTACTCTTAACGCAGTTGCATTACTCAACTTCTTCTTCGCCGGTGAGCATCTACGTTTCTGCACAGCTTTGGATACCAAAGGCTTACCAAAACGACGTCTTCTTTGGCTTTCAGAACCCATTAGTTTAATACCTTCCTCCACACTTAGAGGTTTCACTTTACTTTCACAAAGTAAAGGAACTTTCCTCCTAGATGGAGGAAATTTTTCATTCCCAACATTACCATTACCTGCTACATTAAAGCCAGCTTTCTTCATAATCGAATCAAACGATTCGAATTCTTTAGGCCTATGGTGATTCTGATGTGCAACACCACCAACAAAATTCCTATCTTCACTACCATACAAATTCTCTTTTGTCTCACTTATGGCTGCAACATCATCACTTCTCTGATCTTTAACACTAAATCGTGGAAAGTCTCTTACAATAGAGACCTTTCGTCGCTTATAAGAAGGAGAAATCCTCTGAGTCATCATCATCCTGCATAGATACAATTATTTCACAAAATCACTAACCATGTTGTGATTCCAAATTCAGAAACTATTATAATCTTCTATGTTCCCACACATAATCTAGAAAGATCCAACAGCATAATTAAGCATATAATTGCAAGATTATGGCAAAAAATGACAAATTCGTAATCAAGAATCGTATCTAATAAAGTGTATTTATACGGCGCAAGTGTGAATACAGTAAAATTAGGGCAAAATCTTGAACTGTAACAATGGTAAAAGACGAAGATTACGGAGAGTGAAAATTTTGAAATTTGAAATTCGAACCGTTATTTTGTGTAAAAATCATCGAGATTGTAAAAAAAAAAAAAAAAACCTAGATTAGAAATTAGATCTTCACTTAACAAACCCTAAGTTCCAGAGAGTTCGATGAAAAGTTTCAACCGCAAAACAAAAAAATTCAAGAAAACGCAAGAACTAAGAATGTTTGACTTTCTGAAAATCGAAAACATGCATAAATTTTTCAGAAGAAATAGCGAAATAAAAAACCAAAGAACTCGGAAAAAAAAAAGGAACAGAAATGAAGAAGAAAAGTAGCAAATACAGAGTATCGAACAGAGTAAACATTGAAAGAAGAGAAGAACCAAAAAAAGATTCTATGAACCTGAAACAGAACCAAGCGAATCTCACGGCGAAGACGACGGAGAAGTTTTTTATCTATTGTAAATCTTCTTAATGTTTTTTTTTCCGGCGGTCTTCTGGATTCTTCTTGTGATAATCTCTGAAGGCTCGAAAAACGATAAGTCACTGAAGAGATACTTAAGCAGAGGCGGTGTTGGTTAATTGGATTTTTTGACTCAAAAACTTTTGAGTAAATCTGTTTTTTAACGGGGCCATTAATTACGTTAATTGTTTTCAGTTATATTTAAATTAATACTACATGGAAGCGAATGATTAGCGACTAATGGATTGTAATGATTACGTGGAGCGCTATAATTGGGTAGTGGGGGTGTAAGTTTTCCATAGCATTTAATTATTGTGTCTCATCTACTTTATTACTAGATATAGTTATAGAAATTCAAAAGTCTATGGAATATTTCAAATTTCTTTTGCTATAAATACTTATGTGCATTTAGTATATGTTAATACTCCCTATGTCCCAGGAAGATAACTTTTTTAGAAATTTCAAATTCTTTAAAAAATAATGTATAATGACAATTTTAAACTTTTAACATTTTAATTAGTATATTATTTATTATAGTTTAATAAAGATAAAATAGGTAAATTGTTTTAAATTTTGCATTGGAAATACAAAACTTCTATTTATGCCCCCCTTATGCATAATCTATCTTCGTGGGACGGAGGGAGTATGTGGTGTTTGTCCTAATTTTCTTCAACTACCGGTCAATAGTTTTATAGGTTTTAATGTTTTTTACTTAATTATTTAAAGATAATAAAAAAAACCTGAAAACGAATATGTAAAAATAAAAAAAGTGAAATGTGTTAAAAAAGCGTAAGGTGCTAAGCAGGACCTAGTACATATACCTAAAACATCTTATAAAAACCAGAAAACGAATGCGTAAAAAAAGAAAAAAAAAAGAGAGAGAAATGTATTCAAAGAAAGCGCTAAGTAGGCGTTGACCCAGTATATGCACCTAAAACATCTAATAGGAACTTAGACGATTTTAGACGGTTTAGCCGTTTATAACATTAATTTATTTAGTTTATATCACAATATATAAACTATGTATAAATAGAAAAAATTTAGTTGGAAATTAGAAAAATACACTAAAACAAATCCAATTTTAGGAGGTTGTTTAGTCGCGCCTAGTCGGGGTGCTAGACGGCTAAACCGTCTAAAACCGTCAAAAAACATTTATGACAAACACTCAAACCTCATAAAAGTTTTTTGAATTTTGCTTTCACATTTATAAAAACTCTCAAAATATAGATTCTTTATTTTTAGGGAAACTATATTTTTAGGGAAACTACTTTTTCAAATTCTTGAATGGTTGTAAAATAGAATTTGAAAGAAAAACTAACTAAAACCATTTCAAAAACCACAACCATTCAAGGCCTAAATCTAAAAATTAGAAACTTTCAAGGGTTTGTTTGAAAACAAATTGGAAAGAAAAATAATCATATACATCAATGAGTGCAAATATGTAGTTTAAAGGATTCATAAAAAAATATTATTTTCAAAAAAATTTCTTCTAAATAAAAGAATTGGATAGAATTTTAAAATCATTAAAACAATAGCACAAGAACTTGAATAAAGTGTAAGGATTCACAAGAACTTGTGGGCAACCTTAAATAATTAAGGTTTGCAGGTAAATTAAAAATATATGGCCAACCCTTTTTTATCCTATTACTAAGAAATGTTTTTGTTGGTTCGATTGGTAGTCACCATAAACTATCTATTGTTGTTTTTTATTCGATGATTTAGCGACTAAAAATTTCTATCACTAAATAATTTAGTGTTTGAAGTCACTGGTTGATGCTTTTTCACCAACGATGAAAATTGTAAAAAAAAAAAAACAAAAACAAAAATAGTCGATGTTACTAACGACTAAAAAACGAACACAACTAAGATTGGTCTCTAAAATATTTAATCTATTGGTAGCCATTGTGGCTACCTTGGGTTCATGACCAACTTTGATTATGAGCTAATTTTATAGGTTCATGAAATAAAAAAGAAATCTATATATATAATGAGAGAGTTTCTCTCCTCTTAAGGTGTCCACATCATCACCAAATTAATATTATGGATCCTACTAATTAATAATTATGTCAAATATTTAGTTTCATGTTTAATTACATCTCATTATCAAAGAAGTAATCATCAATTAATGCACAGTTTTAAATAAAGGTTATTTGAATAATAATAACACAAGTGTAACATATTTACATATAATAATGGGAGAGTTTCTCTCCTCTTAAGGTGTCCACATCATCACCAAATTAATATTATGGATCCTACTAATTAATAATTATGTCAAATATTTAATTTCATGTTTAATTACATCTCATTATCAAAGAAGTAATCATCAATTAATGCACAGTTTTAAATAAAGGTTATTTGAATAATAATAACACAAGTGTAACATATTTACATATAAAATACTTACATTAATTTTTTGTTAATATATAACTTAAAATGAACATAATCCCTAAATATTTAATTAAGAAATAAAAAATAATTATGAAAATTTCATAGAAATACCAATGTTATTTAAGATGGAAAAAGGCTTCTTAATGAAATTTATTATACAATTACAAACAAATAATAACTTATTAAAAATAAAAAACGTTTAAAACTATCACTTTTAAGAATAATAAGGAAACCTCAAATATAATTTAGGATGAAAAAAAATTGAATTGAAATGGAAGGCTATAAGAGTTTTTTTTTTTTAATAATAAGAAGATATTCATATTTCATGGAAACATTAAATTAAAGAGATAATAATGAAGTGGAAGAAATTTATTTAAAATAATATTATTTTTAGATTAAAAAATAAATGGTTAAATTTTATAGTAAATGTATGATTGTAAAAGTTTTTTAAGATATAAGAAATAATTCATATTTAAAATTAAAAATTATATTTCAAGAGAGTAATAGTATAAATTCACATTGACGAAAAAATATAAAGATTAATTGTATCTTAATATTAAATTATAGTAAAATATAACAATAAAAATAATACAATTATATCTATATTATTGTTTGTTTTCTAAATAAAAAAGTGAATATGTTTAAATATAGGTAAAAATCTAAATAAGTACTGTTGAGAAAATTTTAACAAATATATATCTTTCGTAAAATTATATTACGTTGAAGCATGAAAACCATATAATTAATAAAAGAAAATAAACTAAAAAGATGAAAATGAGGAAATAGTTTTCAGTTAAGAATCAATTTAAAGTTTTATTAAAGTGAGCATAGAAGATAAAACAGAGTAGATGTTGGGAAGCGAACAAGTGTATCATAGAAGATGACGAAAAATATTTGAAGAGAAATTGAGTAATGCTTGAAGCATCGGATATATGTATGCACATGATAAACGATATTCATCCGATCTATGTATGCATTAGCGGATAGTTTGATTTAGTAAACCAGACTATCATATTCAACATCAGGTTAAATCGTCGAGCCATGTAAGCGTAGTAGGATAGATAAGATTAAGATATTCATGATTTTGCCAAAACTTTCCTTAAGGTATGATGGTCTTGCTTCAATAGGTAAATAATGCTCTCCAAACCTATTGAAGCGGCATGAATATTACGTTTAAATATTTTTCATAAATTGATGTTCAAACTCAGCAAATTTACTTTTAGTATGAGGTACGAATAGGTCAAAACATCAAGACAGTTATACTTACAAGATTTGTTTATGGAAATAACTCTTTTTGATAAAAAAAAAAAAAAAATTCATTGATGACTACCGAGACCGATTCATCTTATATAATTTTTGTTATTATGCGGTACCTACTAAATATATTTTATAATATCTATGTTGTATATTGTTTTGTAAAACAAGTATGAATGTATATAGTTTTTAAAATTCAAATGATTATGATTATTCTTAACATTTTGTATTATACCCAGTTAAAATTTGATATTCCGCGCAACGCGCGGACGAGTTAATCTAGTTGAAAGAATAAGGAGGTGGATGGACATTACCTGATGTGAGTAACTCAATCAATGAGTAAAAATATATTCCAAAGAGAAGTTTTGGTTTTGAGCTTGTACTTAATTATAGGTTGTGATGTTTGAAATTCGGATATGCGGATTTGGATTTAATTAGTTGGAGAGATATCTTATAGTCAAATAGATACTTTCTCGTCTCCCATCTTCTTCAATTGTTGGACAACCACCAATATTTATTACTAGCTTAAACCACTAGATTGTAAATCTAGGTCTATTATATCTATATAGAAAAGAAAAAAATACATCAAAGGTTTATGAAAAATAAGAAATAGAAAACAGTAAATAATCAAAGAAAATCAATTCAAATAGGAATATTATAACCAATTTTTCATAGGATTATACCACTTGTTCACGTTTTCAGAACTATTTTTCAAAATTTGAAAACGTGATTATGCTATATTTATTAGCATTCAGAATATTCATTAAGTTTTCACGTTTTTTAGAAAAGTGATTCCAATACATACCACAAGCATGTTAAAAAAAACATGATCAATCTATCAAATTAGCGCGTGTTTTAGCGTTTTATATGATTATTCAAAAGAAATTCTCTAGTTTAGGTTGTTCGGCTAACAATTATTCAGTTATTCAATTATTAGTCTGACATACAAGTCATCCTCATAGTTAAAGAAAAAAAATAAAAGAAAAATAAGTGAAACTAAATATTGGGAAGATATAAAAATTTAACTGTCGTAATCTCGTTAACTATGTTATTCTAACAAACTAAATACTTGTAATCTCGTTAAGCATGTTAAGAAAACCAAGATTAATCTAATTAAATTAGCGCATTTTTTAGCGTTTTATGATTATTCTATAGAAATTCTCTAGTGACCTACCAGTCATCCTCATAGTTAAATTTTATAAAAAAATGTCAAGCTTTATGTGATAAATTTTGGATTCAATCATAGTTTTTTTTTTTTTTTAATATCTGGAAGTTCAAGCCCGAAAGTCTTACATCTCCCAGAGGAAGGACCCAGACCAGATTAAATTCATCTCCTTTGGAGAAGAAATCCCTCCCAACGGACGTCGAATCCAATACCTCCACCTGGAAGATTTACCACTAGATCAACACAACGTTCGTTCCAATCATAGTTTTAAACACACACTATGATTGAATATTCAATTGAAGTTGAGTTAAGAAAAAAACAAAAGTTACTTACCCGACTCGATGCTATAAGAAAATATTTATCAACCTGTATGACTCATGATTAGCTCTCCATCGACACCTGTTGAGGATTAAACTTCAGCAAAAGTAAATTTAATATGCAAAAGAATAAGAGAGGAGAAAGATTTCGAATGTGATGTGTTTGGCTGCTCTCAGTTTTTGTGAAGTGAATGAATGATTTCCATGCAAAACCTCTTTTTATAGTGGGAGAAGATAATCTCATAAACAATACTAAATATTTTTAAAATCTCGAATTAACTTTTCCTAGGGTTATCTTAAATAATGCAATATTGTTCTTCCATTTTTTTTTGTTAAAGATATTGTTTTCCATTACTTTAGAAACTATTTTCCATATTTAACTCGAATAAATATATATAATTTTATTCTCCAATTAAATCATGCTTTGAATTCAAATTTGGTAATCACTTATTCGATAAGAAAAAGAATATAGATTTTACTTTTTCCTTTTTACTTCCATTCATGTGGTGCATTTATGTGGGGAAAAGAATATGTTGTGTAAAAAAACTTCCAAAACGGATACATATATATTTCTTGTAAGTAAAAGAACTTCCAAAATGGATATAAGTATTGTGTATCAAGTCAAGTATATTTCCAACTTATTGTACACGTTAGATTTAATTAGAGCAAAAAGTTTTTTTTTTTAAGTTAAGGAGTAAAAAAGTATTGATAGGCGAATCTTAATGTAATATTGCAGCGAGATTTTTTTTTTTTTTTTTTTTTTTGTCAACAACTTCTTAAGTTTTTTTTTTTTTTTTTGGTCAAAGGACTTCTTAATTTTCTACTGTAGATAAAGTTTAGAGGTTGAATAAACTATTCTATTAAAGTTTTTTCTTAGTATTATTTTGAATAGCTACCACATATCAAAGAGATTACAATATAGTAATAAATAGACATTTTTCCACGACAGTAAATAGACTCGAACCTTTGTTTTTTTGTCCAAAAAACAGTAAATAGAAATCTGACACATTACCAAAATCTTTCTCCATCTGTTTCTAATAATGTAATAAAAAGTATTTTAAATTTACCATATATTAACTAATGGTTCTTTTCAATAATTACAAAAAAAAATAAAGGGACTATTGGATATAAAGGATAAATAATTAAATTATTGTCCATCTATGCATTCTATATTTATAATTGATCATATATGTTTTAATATTGGTCATATATGCTTTAATATAATTAAAATCTCATTTTGCCCCTAATTTCTTTAAATCTTGCTAAACTATAAAAAAATTTCCAAAATTAAATAGATTTCTTTCTAAAAGCAATTTGGAAAAAATATAGGGCAAAAACAATATTTATTTACTTTCCAAATTTTTTGCCTAGATAATTCCAAATCTTCTTTTTATTTGATTTTTTTTTTATGGTAACATCTTCTTCGATTCTTTTGACATCAACTTCTTCGATTTTATCTTTTGGTAGTTTTTTGGATTTTTTCAATTCTTTGGAGCTTGTATATATATGTAAAATTCTAGATTTCTTTGCATGTGTTGGATTATTGTAGACGTAAAATTTGTAAACATAATACATTTTTTAAAATTTGTACGTAGACGTAAGATTTATATACTAATTAGAATACATGTTCTAAAATTTGTAGACATAATCTTAACCTTAATATTCAATTTTATCAGATGTAATATTAACAATATTCAATTTCTTTATTTAAAGATTTACTTTCCTTTTTTAAAAAAGAAATTCTAAATTATATAGAATTTGTTTTCTATTTTTTGTAGAATATATAAAAAATATAAGAATGTGTTTTCTAACAATTTCAGAACATGGGTAAATTTTAGAAAAGATATTCTATTTTTTCTAGAAGAAAGAGCAAAGTATAGAATATGTATTCTAAATTTCGTAGAAATTAGCTATCTAAATACGGTAGAACAGAAATATGTTCTAAATTTCGTAGAACATGTAAAGTGCATAGAATATATTATCTAAATTTAATAGAACATAAGCAATGTGTAGAATACACATTCTAAATTCAGAATGTGTATTCTAAAATTCGTAGATCATATTTTATTTATCCAAAACGGTAACAAAAACGATATATTTTCGACATTATAAGTATTTTCATGACTTCTTTTTCATTTGCCTACGAATTATTCTAAATTTTATTTGCTAAACTAGTTAAACTAACTACAAAGGGTAAATTACGAATATGTGATATCTAGTCATAGAATGCATGGATGGACAATAGCTTAATTATTTATCCTTATATCCAATTTTCCCAAAAATAAACGAGTTTTCTCTACACTTAAAAGTCTGATTTATAACATTTTCTTTGTGGAGGAGGTCTGTATATTAATTATTATTAGGACTTCCACTTTTTAAAATACTCACTTTACTTAATGAGTATTACATTAAATAAAAATAAATAAAAAACCTTTAATCCTCTATTTTTATTTAACAAAAACTGAAACATTTATCTCTACAATTAATTTTTTTTTTTCTCAAATCTTATTATACGATCATCATGGATTTTTATTTCCATTTATCTTTACAATACTAATATCAAGTCAATGGAGGTTGACCAGGAATTCTACAAAGCTTGAACTTATACACAGTTTTTCCTCTAACCTCTCTCTCAGGCCAATATTCTTCAACCATATACAAACCATCGTAGACGTATCGTTTCCCTTTATGATCCCATCTCTCTTCTCCACGAATCACTCTCACTTGCTTCTTCTGCCTCATACTAGTAGCCAATGCTAAATTCCCTTTGACCAATTTCTGATCTTCAGTCTTCTTATCCTTGCTGATCACGTTACCTCCTTCACCTGTATAAATCATCACACCAGACTTGAATGTATCATTGTATCCATACCCTTCTGATGCTACTATGCTTGTCGCGAGTCTATCATCTCCGATTTTCAGGTAATCGATACCGCACATCGTCTTGGAATGGAGCCCGACGAGACGGAGTTCAGTTTTGTACTGAAACACATCCCCAACTTCTACTCCGGGAACTGATCCGATTCTCTTCTCTGTGTTCACTTGTTTACCCATATTCTCTAAGACAGTTAGTGTTTTGAGGTCGATTCTGCTTGTTGCATCCAAAAAATCTCCACAGCGTCTTGCTTTTTTATCTCGATCCAACTGGCTGTATACTTGTTTGAAAAGACTCAATACCTCGAGCACTTTCTCACGAGGAGTAGGATCACAATCAGAGTTTCTGATCTCTAGTTCTTGTCTGTGAGATGAAGTTGCATAAGGTACTGTAGTAGCTGCAACAACATGATCCTGATCAGCTAGTTCTCGCTTGGCGTTAGGTTCAGGAGCTGCAACAATATGATCCTGATCATCAGCCATTTCTCCCTTAGGTTCAGGAGCTGCAACGATATGGTCCTCATGATCAGCTGATTCTCGTTTGAGACAAGTTCCTTCCGGTTTAGGAGCTGCAAAACTCAGATTCTTCTCGCCAGAAACATCACCAGTTCTTTGATTCTTGAAGGACTTGTCAGCTGGAAGATTAAACCTCGGCGAAACATCAATATGAGTTCCACAACCCGGTGGGAAGTCTCGAATGGCGAAGACTAAAGATCGCTTCTTAGTATCACTCATCTTCCTGAAGAAACATTACAAAATGCACAAAATCAACTTTCTTAAGTAATCAAACAGTTCTGGATTTCGATTCCAAACACATACCATAAAACAAAATGAAGAAACTTTACACAAATTTCCAGTTTTTCACACAGAAACCAAGAAAAGCTTCGAAATTTAACACAGAGATTGAATCTGAGACTCGATTTTGACATATCCAAACAGAGATGCTATCAAACAGAGTATTGAATATGATGATATGAAGTCGCTGAATGCAAAAGTAAAGCGATTATAGTCGCTGGAGCTAGAAATAATCAAACGATCTTCGTGTGGTGAGATCGATCATTGAAGAGTGTAAAAGAAGAAACACTAACCTCTGATGATGATCTTTCTCTATGAGCTTCTTCAGATGTTGACAAAAAATGCGATTTTTCCACCTGATTTCAAACCAAATCAATAGATTTTGAGCAAATTCGCATAAACAATCCAAAAGCAAAAGAAGAAATTGAGTTTTTTCACTCGATTGTTTGGAGAAAACTCAGCAAAATCAGAACATGGAGATCAAAAGCATTCAGATTTCATTATCTCGAGGAAACAGAAAAAGCAGTTTGATGAAATCGAGAGCAATGAACTCAGAAACTCAGACGAAATCGCAAAATCAGTGAACAAAACTCAAGGAGAGAAGAAAATGAGTGATCGAGACCAACGAAGAATTTAGTGTATACCTAAGAATCTGTTGTTACTGATCGAGTTCTTCTTCGACCTCACCTGCGTTTGTTCTCTCCGTCTCCGGCGAATCGAACAGTTAGTTACGACCTCTCTCTCCGGCTCCGGCGAAACAAGAATTAGCAGAGATTTTTGAGTTTTTTTTTTTTAATTGTGTTGTCGTCTATTTAATGTTCTCTGTTTTATAGAAATGTAAATTAATATACATAGATTTCTGTTATTATATGGGCCTACACCATTAAGTCGTGTGATTGTTTTATGTAATTTTTAGATAAAAACAAAAATTGTTAAATGAAAGTTCAAAAAAAGTAATCATACTTTAATTAGTAAATAAATAATGAAATTTCATAAGAAATGAAAAAAAAAAAGTATTACATCTTACTATAAATACGTATACGTAAAGACAGGATATAAAAAGAGTGTTTTACCATTAGAAGTTGAAAAAATATGACAATTTATTTTTTTACAAAAATGTTTGCAATATAAAACTTGCTTTCACAATTACTTTTAGAAAAAAAAAAATTACCAGCAAATCCTCTTGTTCTTCTTTTTGTTAATGAGAAAGTGTAATATTTATATTAAAAAGCAATTTTTAGATAAAAACCAAAATTGTTAAATGAATGTTAAAACAAAGTAATCATACTACAAAAAAAAAAAAACAAAGTAATCATACTTTAATTAGTAAATAAATAATGCAAACACGCTTATGCTTTGCTTGGTTTCAGAGGAAATGAAAAAAAAAACAAAGAGGTTATTACCTAGGAAGCACGGAAGCTTCGTCGGACGTCCGCTTCCCGCTTCGGAATCTTAGTCGGAATCGGAAGTTCTCGGAAGCTTTCGGAATCTCGCTTCCATAACGCTTCTAAAAAATTCATTTTGGAAGCTCCTTGGAAGCTTACGATTCTATTTTGGAAAGTTGCGATTCCATTTAAAAAATTTGATGTCACAAAATAAATAAGAAATACTCCCTCTGTTTCACAAAGAGTGTCATTTTAGAGTTTTACACACAGATTAAGAAAACATTAAATTTTTTGTTTTTTCTAAACAAAAACATCATTAACTATATACCTAAACATAATCTGCCCAATTGTAAAACAATCTGCAGAATACTAATAGTCATAAAACATAAAAAAATCATTAAATTTTGCATTGAAAACCTAAAACGACACTCTTTGTGAAACAAAAATAAAACCTTAAAACGACACTCTTTATGAAACGGAGGGAGTAAGAAATTATTTTTGATAGTTTTTTTATACAACAAAAGAAAAACCAAAACTAATTTTGCATACTAATTTTGTATTTTATTTTTTAAAATATCATAGTTAGAAAAATGATAGCAGCATGGATCATTTATTAGGGAGATGTTGAAATGATTAATTGAATTAAATTAATTTCGAGAAATTTGAGTTTGATGATGTTTTTATTGGTAAAAAAAAAATTAAAACAATTTTATTTGATAGAATTAGTAAAATGAGAATGAAGAATGATCTTAAATTTTTGACTTTGAACTATTTGACTTTTCTCTAATGTAAACGTACACTATTTTATTTTTAAATATAGAGAGATATTTAGAATTTATGTATTAGATTTGTATGTTAATTATAATTTTTTATATGATATAATGTTTAATGTTTATTATATGTATATGTATATATATATATATATATATTAATTTTTATATACGCTTCCAACACGTACCCACTTTCTATAATTTCTATAAAAATCGCTTCCACGTTTCCAAACGCTTCGCTTCCGCTTACCCGCTTCTGATTCCATGCAACCTAGGTTATTACATCTTACTAATAAATACGTATACGTAAAGACAAAATATAAAAGAGTGTTACTATTTTTTAAAAAAATTGCATTATAAAAGTTACTTTTAGGGAAAATAAATAAAGAAATTTCATTTCATATGCAACTATGTAAATGTTTATCACTAACATACAAAAAATACTTACTTCTAACCGCAAAACCTCTTGTTCTTCTATTTCACTATTGGTCAATGAAAAAGTGTAACATTTATATAAATTGTAATTTATATATAAAAAGTGTAATCATCCGGTTACAAAATATTCTTATCAGCCAAATCTTAACCTACTTTTCATTTTGCTATAGTGCAGAAAATGTTGTGGACTATCTACCATTAGGTTGGTTGCAAAACCTAAAAGTCCATCTTACCAAAAATACATATACATAAAGACAATATAAAAAAGAGTGTTTTACTATTAGAAGTTGAAAAATACTACACAATTTTTCTTTCAAAAAGATTGCGATAGAAAAGTTGCTTTCACTTATTTTTAGGAGAATAAGTTACAAAATTTTATTTCGTATGCAAGTATGTAAATGGCTAAATATACCTAACATACAAAATACACTTAGTTTTTTTAAAAAGCAAATCATGTTGTTCTAATTGATGAGATTGATAAGGTAGCAAACAAACAAACCTCCATAAGAAAGTGTAATAAGCCTTCGGTTACAAAATATATATATATATATATATATATATATATATATATATATATATCTTATTATATAAAGTATGATTTTCAAAGTTAATAACTCAAGAGATCGTGACACGTGTCAAATATTTCTATCTTAAATTTTTTTATGTGTCAAATAAATTTTATTTTTTAATAAAAAAGATAAAAAGATAATTATAAGAAAATTAGAAATGTAAACATTTTGAAAATGTAAAAAGTTAATTATCAGGAAATTGTACCTAACTCCCTATATTTCCATAAGAGATTTTGCCATCTAGCAACAAAAATATTTGTTTTTAACAACTTAAAACTGTTAAAAGATAATTATAATAAAATTATAAATTTAAATAGTTACATCATAGTAAGAAAACTATATGTATATATAAAGAAATTATATGTGTATTTTCCATAAAAATGAAAATTATAAAATTATGCTAAACATTTTATTTATAAGTTACTAATTGTACAAGAAAAAAAAAATAGAAAAAAAAATTAAGGAAATTATACAATCAATTATTATTCCTATAAAAAAAAAGATTGTAAATGATCACCTTTACTCAAAAATATAAGTAACTAACAATTTTAGAAAACTCATGTTTTTTAGATATGTGAAAATTCAAAATGGCTCTCAAACAAAAGATAAACATACAACTTTGTATTCCAATTTGGAGAAAAAACATGAAATAAATACTAATAACACGAAATATCTGAAGAAAAAAAATCAATATTAGAACTCTGACGACGAAATAGAGACATCCAACAATGTCATTAAATAAAATAGCATGTCATACTGAAAAAAAAAAATAGGAGTAGCATGTGATTGTTATGGAGGTGATGATGGTGGTGATTGGGTGGTTTAAAAAAATAACATGATCATGTAAAAATTACATGTATTTATCATTTTTTGTAAATATATCATATCTATTATAAAAATAAACACTGTGAGTCGCGATGGTTTTCTAAAAATAGCATGCAGACCCAAAGAATATATGGCAATGGAGGCAAATTAAGAATTATGAACGGCGATGGACATAGATTAGAGTTGTTTTCGGAGAAGCTTGGCCTGATGTCGGAGAAGATATAAAGAAAGTGGAGTAATAAGAGAAGTTGGGAAAAAAGGAGAAGAAGCGATAACAGTGGTGTTGGTGTTGATAACGATGGTTCAAGCTAGTGGTAGTGGCGGCGATAAATGTTGATGGAGGTGGTGGATCGAAATTAGCGAGATTCGGTATTGATAGTGGTGGTGATTGTGATAGTAGTGAGATTCATTTGTGGTGGTGGGTTAGAGTAGTGAGACTCGGTGGTGATGTCCGACGAATGGAAGAAATGGAGATAGGGGAAAAAAGAGGGAGGGAAGGAGAAAATTCATCTTCCCCACATTAAAATTATAAGATCATGTATTACACTCTTCAGATGGATGTAAATAACTTATTAAAAGTCAATAATACAACGTATGAATATTTATGACTTCATAACTTATAATAAGCAAAAAATTATGTAATTTTATAAATAGACCAATATTTTTATTAGATGATTTAATAATTAGTATAACATAACTACAAATAGTGTTTTATACTACGTAATATGCATTATAAATCTAATAAAAATAATTAAAATGCAGCATTATTTAAAATATATATGTTTATATAATTTTAGTTATGCTTACAAAATAATTAAAAGTTAAAAATGATATCGACCGGCAATCCGTGCAACGCACGGGTCTATATCTAGTATATATATAAACATAAGTTTGAATAGTTCCAAGCAAGAGCGTGCTTGCACGGGTCCATATTTAGTATATATATATAAACATAAGTTTGAATAGTTCCAAGCAAGAGCATAAGCACTAGTCAACGCTTTAGAATGTAATGTTTTTAAAAGTTTTCCATGGTTCAAAACTTTAGACTCATTGACATTGTCATCAAAGCAAGTTTAGGTTTGTCATCTCCATTTAGGTTTCTTAAACCATTTTCCATTTATTTTTTATTTAACTTGGTTGTATTGTGCTTGCTTTTGCTATCTATCTCATTACATAGATTTTTCAAAAGTTATTTTCCCTTTTGAACTTTCTTCTCTTCTTTTCGCAGCAATTTTCATGTTGTTAAGCCCAATTGCACTCACAGTTTGAATCATGAACTTTGAGAAGACATAAATTCCGCCTGATTCTTTAAATATCTTATGTGTGCTATAAGTCGATGATTCGCATTTTTTTTTTTTTAAATCCATTTCCATTAAAAACAGAACAAGTTACAGCAGAGATACAACCAGATACATCAGAAACTAGAAAGGAGAGATACAAAGAGAAACACGCTTACCTACTTACCAAATTAAGGTTGGAAAAATTCAAACCAAATAGATAATAGAGATACCGAAGTAGACCGTTGCGCCCTAGAGAGAGGATCAAGCTTACACATAAGAGAGCTTTGAATATCGATAATCAGGCTCGACGGAGGGCGAGAAGACTGAGAGTGAAGTCTAGAATTCCTTTCTTTCCAAATCGAATAGATAGAAGCTTGGAAGAGAAGCTTGAGAATCAATGACATGTTTTTGTTTGGGCAAGGGTCTTTGATCCATCAAAGTCCATGTTCCAAAAGAATTGGAGGAGAAACATGAGCTTTAGATGAGAAAAAAGACCAAACCTCGAAGAAAAAAACACAATCGATGATTCGCTTATAACAGCTATGATGGTAACAATTGCTAGATTTTTTGTAACCATCGCTGCAATGTTACATCTTGGGATGAATCTTGGACTTTACGACTCTAATCCCGCATTGAGTTAGCATCTTTAGAAATTCTTTATACTAGGAACAATAAGGAACGTAAATTAGAAATTTAATTTCATAATTAAATAAATTTAAAATAGCTTTCATGATAAGAATTACATTTATATTGATAATAATTTTCTTATTTTATCATAGAAATTTTATTTTTATTTAAAAACTCAAGTTAAATTTAGGTTATGACATTATTTTAAATTAATATTGATAGTTAAATAGTTAAAGAATATTTACAAATGATAATCATATTAAATGTTGACAAAAAAAAAGATAATCATACTAAATTTACCATTCAGGAAAATTGTTAAAAATACCCCTTTTGGTGTGTCCCTTTTAAAAAATGCCCCTTTTAGATGTCAATTTTCAAAAATGCCCCTTTTTAAATCTGAAATTTTTATAAAGTTTTATTAGGTTTATAAGGTACTTATGGATTGTAACTACTACTTGAAGACTCGATCCAAGTATTTATAAGGTTTTATAAGGTGTTTTTAAAGGTTTTACAAGTTATTTTAAAGGATTTTTAAGGTTTTTCAAAGGTTTTACAAGATAATTTAAAGGTTTTTAAAGTATTTAAAATGCATTTATAAGGTATTTATAAAGTATTTATAAGATTTTAGATACATAGAAATATAGTTTGTGTATGTTTTAATAATATTACATACATATTTGGGTAGGTCTTATATTTTTAAGAGCATTTTTTATAAAGTTTTAAAAAAAGAGTATTTTTGAAAAGTGGCATTTTTGCAAAAGCCCCTTCAAAATAAAGTATTCAAATTAATACTACAATAATATTTTAAATTAATATTTTACATGAAACTTATTAATTAAATCAAGAAAAGAAATTTAATTTAGAAATGAAATTAATATTAGTAATTTTTGTCATTTCAATTTTGTTTCAAAAATTTTCTATTAAATAGATTCTAATAATTGTTCAATTTTTTGGTTCATCATTATTATGACATTTTGTTCAACTCCTCTTCTACTTTTTTTTCCTCTCCGTATTATTTAATTTCCTATGCAAGTATATATATAACCCCAAGAGATTGGATGCTTCTCTCATCTATCTTTTTAATAAAAATCTATATACTTAGATTTATTGCTTCAATTTTGCATTTTAGATATCAAAATGCCTAAAATGCTACTAAATATTTTTCTCCTCTTATACGAAATTAAAAAGCACAAAATTAAACTTCCAAGAAAAAGATAAAAGAAAACGAAACTTTCTTGTTCTTCGAGTTTAGTAAGAACAAGAAGACATATATATCAACATATATATGTAAGACCACCAAAGAGAGCCCTTACAATAAAATCCTTACTTCTTTATATCTGCAAATTGCAATTTCTAGTGCAGAAAAATCTCATTTGGCCACATTTTCTCAGAAAAGCCTAAAGAGCAGAAGAGTTCTCTTCAACAGAGAGATATATATCTTAAAAAGTCTTAATCTTTGTTCTGAGAAACACCAATGAGCTTGAGAAACTTTATCTTCTTTCATATCATGTGAAGAAGCTCTGCTTGAGGGAATGAGCCGTTCGACGGCACATCAAGAAGAAGATCCTGATCAGAAATATCATTATCTTCATAGCTAAACACCAGAGGTCCACCACAGCTCATAGGTTTAAAGGAAGAGACACTGTTCTCTAAAATCTCTTTGGTTTCGATGTGCTTTGATCTAATCTTCATCACTTCTTTGGGGCTTCTCATCACATCTCTTGTCTCTGGAGAACGCAAGACTCAATATAATTCAGAAACAGACAGATATTAAAGCAGAAAGTTACGGATTGACATGGTTCAAGAATCTTAATTGACCTGAGAAGTTTTGGTTTAAGCTTTCACAAGGTCTTTCAATAGTTACAAGACTATTATTCTTTGATGGACTCAGGTTTGAGACCTTTGATGTTGTAGTAACAGAGTCTTCAGTCCTTTTTTTCTGTTCCTGAAGCAAAGATTTAAGTGAACAAAAGCCAAAAGTATAGAAACTATTTGTTTCAAGAAGAGTATATGTTGAAAACCTTGAGCATGTAATAGCTTTCCAACAAATGGGATTTGTAAGGATCTGATAAAGCAAGCTTTGCAAGTGTCTTAATGTCTTCAAGTTTTGATCCAGAGGAATAAGACGAAGTTGTCTCAAAAACACCATCTGCCACAAGTTGCTGAAACAAGGATAAGTTCTCTTTGAATTGAGAACTCTCAAACATGCTTCTGAGGCTGGCAAAAGAGAAAACCGCAAGTATAAGAACTCGAAGAAGGCACTCAAAACACTAAATACTAAAGTTTCATTGAGTCAAAATACCTATCAGGACGATCAACAGAGTCAACTTGAGGAAGTAATTTCATCAGTTTTTGCTGTTCTTCCTCTGTGAATTTTTCTATGAACTCATCAAAGTTGAAAACGTCCTGCAGAAAGATTTTCCCAAGTCAACTTAAGACATTCAAATGATTTTTTAAGAAACATTCAATTTTTGGAATTGCAAATAGTACCTTCAAATCTATGCTACAGAGTAGTGAACTATGTCTTCCTAAGACTTGAGATTTGCTCCTGCACCAAAAAACATCATTTAGAATCTCTCCAAGCAATCTTCAATCTTTCTTGTCTAGTTATTTACCTCTTCAGTTGCTCCTGCTTTATTGCCTTTCCACCAAATTTCACAGAATGAACTGATGAGGACTTGCTGCTCTCAACTAAGAGTGAGCTAGCTTCAGATTCCTCTTCTCGAGCACCCGGGTGAGGATCTCTCATAAGAACACTCCCATGTCCTAACAACATTGGTGTTTCACTCTCAAAAAGCAAATCTTCCTCTGAAGTACCAGAGAGACAAGAAGATTGTTGTTCTTGTAGAATGGTATAGAGATCCTTTGTGAGCTTTTCAACAGAAGAAGCTGCCTTTGGACGGCCCACACATGTCCTCCTCTTACAAGGAAACGTAGCGTCCCACGCATTAGATTGTGCACAGCTCTCGGAGTTTGATACAACCGATCCTGAACTCGATCTATTGCTAGCTTCTTCATCCAGAACCTTCCTCTTGAAACCGGTATGGAATTCCAAGTTAGCTCTTTTAACTGTAAAATTTTCTTGATATGGTTTCCTCTTGAGAATCTTTTTGTTCAAAGACATTCCCTTAATCATCACTCTTTGAGCTCTATGATCCTCAATCTCAATCTCATCACCTTCAGCACGAGCATGAAGAGGTGTGTAGTTTACTAATGATCCTTTAGTTCTCCACCTCGAACCACACGCATTGCACAACACCGGCTTCTCTGGTGGCCCGTTTCGCCATAGAGGTGTACCTGTTTGCAACAATTATCCCATTTATCAAACACTCAGAACAATGATAATTCAAAACCAAACAATCCTGTGAAGTTCTTAACATCAAACTAGAGTCTTGATTCAACATAACTGAGCATTTCAGACACAAACTACGATCCTAATTCCTTTGATAACATTCAAAGCTCAATAAGAGTGATCAAAAGCAGCAAAAGGACCCTACAACGTGTTCTTGTGATCAAAAACACAGACACAAAACCAAAACAAAATCATTTTAAAATGCTTAATCTTGTTCATGTCTCCAAGAAACGTTTGCATTATTCAAATAGAAGCAGTTCTTGAATAGTCAAATATGTCAAGAAAATCAAAAATAGAAGAAACAAGAACTCACTTGTAACTCCACAGTGATAGCAAGGACCTTGCTTCCCCATCTTTTTTTTCAAAGTTTTGTAATATACAAATTTCACAAGAATCACAAAGATTTTGTGAAATTGAGTTTTATGATTGTTTTCTTGTTTACTAATTGAGCTTATACAAAAACTGGGTTTTGGGAAGCTTCTTCACGAAGAAAAACCCAGAAAAAAAGTTTTTATTTTTTTGCAGAAGAAAGCCAATAAAAACCCAGAAAACAAAACCTCCACCAAGAAAATTCGAGAAATGAAAAAAACAAAGAGAAGATTTTGTGTTATGGGTTTGCTTTGAGCTAATCAGTCTAATGCAAAAATCCAATAGAAAGGAGAAGAGAGAGACTTATTGAGAGAGGAATCTAACAAATGGCTGTGAAAAAGGAGAAGAGAGAGAAATTGGTGAAGGTTAGAGAGAGAGAGAGAGTGATTGTTTTTGTGTTATGTAAAAAATGAAATTTTGGTTTTGTATATAATGGAAGTTAATATGATTCAGCTTCCTCTACTTTACTTAGCTTTTTCATATTAATTTTTTCCTAATTTTTTTTATGTTTACTTAGATTTAGATTTTTCTAATTACTTAGTTACATAAACTGACTTTTTTCCATCTGGTTGATGTAGTAATTAATACTAGTACTATAATATAATATTGTATGTTAACTAATATTAGCTATTTTATTTTAATTGTGTTTCCAAGTATCTAAACTTCCCCAAATGCTATGAACATAATTTATTTCCATTTTTAAAATATATTTTTAGTGAGGTATATCTCAATAATTTAGAAAAAAAAACTTCTAATCGTTAGAAAGTGATGATGGCTGGAGGAATATCATTGCTTGTGCCTTATGGTTCCTTCCTGTTGACTATAGACTTTTTCTTCTTGTTTGTTTTTTCTTTTCATATTCTAAAGAAGATCATTCATTTTTAATTGTGATAATGAAAATAATTATTATAAGAAGATAAATGTGGTTAAAAATATTATGATAAAATAATGCAATAGTAGAATAAAATAAAAATACTAATGACTGAAATTTAAACTTTTTCTAAGCAAAAACACTTTCTTTTGGAGTACCATATATCTATTACAGGTGAATATTTGCAACATATATATTGAAAATAAAATCTAAGTTTTTTGTTACTTACCAAATCAAACTACAACTTATTCTATTGGTCAATCTCTTTTCTCTCTTTTACATTAGGTAAATGTACTTTATTCTTGTTAATGTTTTCTGTATCACAAGGATTTTTGTATTAAAGTGTTAAACCAAGAAAGTAATAGTTGAAAAAGGCCAAAATTAGTTTGTGTTCACTTTTTAAAGTTCCAAGTTTAAATATTTGATTTAGTGAATAATTGATTGTCTTTGTGATAAAGATAAGACTAGGTTTAACTTGTTCTAAAGTATGACGTTGGTAAATTAATATAATTTTTGTAAATGAAAGAAAACAATACAAAATTAAATGGTTTATGAAGTCACCGGCCGTAATGACGACGACGATCATGGACACAACTCTTTTGATTTGGTTAAAGTATTTGTAGTGATGGGCCCCCACCTTTGTGGTTTGTGAATGTGATTAGTGAACTAATTTTTGGTACATTTCTCGGTGTCTATACGCATTTTAATATTCCAAATCTCTTTTAACTATAGATATTAAAATATGTAATCATCCATGACTAAGATCCACATAATTTTGAGGTTTGGTGAAATTAAAGCATGTTACTCACGATGAGATGTTTCAAAAAATAAAATTAGGTTTTTTATTTCGGGGAAAAAAGCAAATTGTAGAAAACGGTGATTATTGTTACGTAACTCCAAATATAATGTGGAGTCACAATCAAACAATAGCCCTTTCGCAAGAGAGATAAATGGAGACAATTGGGAAAAAAAAAAAAAAAAGATAAATGGAGACAATATAATTATAATTTATATATAATTACAACGTCAAATAACTTTTTAATGGCAATATAAAATTTTGGACCTTCCAGTGGACTGCTTGTAGATGACCAATAATATAAATTTAGTTACATAGCTAAACTTTTGTTAAATTACCAAAACAAAATTACTATATTTCTAAAAAATTGTCATCATCATCTCTATTATACAATTTCTATGTATCTATGTATATATCTACCAGTGGCGGAGGCAACGTACAAGGAGGGGGGTCAGTTGACCCCCATAAATTTTTCCTTTTTACGCCTCCATGCCGCCACACTTTAATTATAAGGTAATTTTCTAATATAATTTAATATTTTGGGTTAAGATATTCACAATGACCCCCATGTTATGTGATCTATTCTTGGTCTTTGACCCCATGTATATTCATTTTTTCATTTAATCTTTGCCTTTTTACAATTTTGTTTGGTTAAAAATCTATAATATCTTTTTTCTCATTAAAAAACCATGTAATATCTATTAACATATCAATTTTTTTTCTTCTTTTTAGACAAATACAATTTTAATTTATACATTCTTTTCAAAATTCTTTTTAAAATATATTTTTTTCTAATCAATCTCCACAATATATATTATATATATTAGCAAAAAAAAGTTTTGATGATATAACTAGAAAAAGATAAATTGCGAACATTTTTTATCTGAAAGATGAAATATGAAACATTTTAGGTTTAAAAATTATGTATATATATAAGAAAATTTATTTAGTTTATTTTAAATTTTAAATGTTTTACGAATTTTTCACCGTTTATGTAATAGAATCGGATGGTGGAGATGAGGCGATGGAACTAATAGATGGGATAAGGTTAAATAAAACAAAAGGTAATGCACGAGTAGTGCTTAAATAAGAACAAAGTATATCATATGATGATCTGCTTACAATTCATACATTCATGCTAATAAAACACAACCACTACAGCACAAAATGACAACAATTAAATACAACAAATTAACTTAAATAATAGGTCCAAGCTCTTTTATTCCCTTTTATCCGAATAATGGTTACCAAGAAAGAAAAGAAAGTTCTACATATTTTGTAGTATTTCATTTATTTCTTCTCCAAGACTCCAAGCAGTGATTTCAGAACTAGGGCTTATTGTTTAAACGGGCATTTTTTGGGCCTAATATTTGAGAATGGGCACTAGCAAAGAGTGTTTACGAAAATGGGCGTATTGACATATCGATTTTACCATGGCAAATATACAAAGAAGGCTTATTATTATACACATATTCCATAGGGCTTATCTAGATTGATTAAAAAATATACTTGCTTCAAGGTCTGAGCAATCAATAGTTGACCCTCTTCTATTCTAACTCTGCTCTTTTTTTTTGGGGAACCATTCTAAGTCTAAGTCTCTAACATATCAAGAGAAATTGGAACCATTTATCAAGACACCTCGAATAAATTACATATTATTTGTATCTTTTTGATGAAACTGAAATCTACACATGTTAAAAACCTGGAAACAGCAATTTCATATTCCTTCTTTTTTGTTCTTAGCTTGATAAGATGAAATTAGTAGTACCAAACTCTTAAACAACAAAGTTTAGAAAAGAAGAACAACACTCGAGTCATTTACAATCTGAAGGTGATATTTGTGCACAAGAGAAATAACCAAATCCTTTTTAGTGGAAAAACATGTGTTGTGTTGTCACCAAGAGAGTGTCCTAACACAACAAACAGGCCAAACACGATGACCACCATAAAGTTCTATCTACTTACATCGCCTCAGTTTCTCCTTTTCTTCTTCTTCTCTTCTTTATCTGCTGAGTTCTTCAACTGCATAACAAAAGCACCTGTTAATGGAGGTTTATCTAAAAAACAAAGTGCGCCATTTGTTTATACCAACGACAAATGAACTTACCATTATGATGAGAATCCGAACGAACACAGCTACAAAGTCAGTGAAAAGGGTCAATGAATGTTTCACATAGTCCATGTCGCCGAGGTGTGCCTTCTCTATAATCTCCTGTGTATCCACCACCATGTATCCCACAAAGATCAAGAGTCCAAAGTACAACTGCAACCAAAGACAAATTCATAACAATGGTGAGATATCTGAGAAAGTAAGAATCAGAACAGATCATTCTAGAACAGAGACATTTGGTTTACCTCAAACTTAAAGATAGATGCAGAGCCACCAAAGATCGAAGAGGCAAACTGAAGCCACATTAGCATGGACAAGCCAGATGAAAGCAGTCCTCCAAGGTAGAGATACTCCCTGCGTCTTGCTAACATTGCTGCAGCCGAGAAACAGACAAACGCTATTGCAGTTCCAACAAACGCAGTAATGAGGATGCTGGATAACCAAAAGAAAGATAAAAACGTCAGCTCCTATATAAGTCTCAAAGAAAATTAACATGAACCATAACCATCCAATGGACAAAATATTTGATCAATAACAAAAAACTACCTTGGGTCAACATCAATTGCCACTTTGATCAAGGGCCCAACAGAGGCACCTTCAAGAACAGCAGACACAAACAGAAGAGAGAGTCTCTTTTGCTGCACCAAAGGAAACAACAATGTCAAGAAAATCAAACTTGGATACAATAATAAAGACGGTAAACTAAGTTAAACCCACGTACTTGTTCATAAGGAGGACAAGAAAGGAGCCAAATCATAGTTCCAACGCATCCAATCGTTGTAAGAATACCGCCGATATTCCAGAGCACATGAAGATAAGCTCCAAACGCAGACGCAACAAGAGCACAGCATAAGGTCAGATAAACCTACAAGTTCCACCACAAGTACAACAACCAATGATGAGTAACATTCCCATATACACATCAAAATCCCTTTACGAGACCATCTCTATGTAAATCGAACATGACGATAAACGAAATTTCTCCACAGAAGCATAAGGAAGTAAAATATTAACCAACTAATTCATGGAAAGACGCAATTAGAAACCCTAGAAATCTATGGAGAGCACAATCGCAACGAAGCCAAATCCTAGAAATTGAAATGAGATCTAGAAACATGATGCGATCAATACGAAGAAAACGAAACGAATCACAATCAATCGCCTCTAATCTAGAAATCGCGGTTAGTGTGCGATGTGAACAGAATCGGCGACGAAGAAACTTTACCCGTTTAAGATGATTCTGAACGGCGGGAGAAATCTGACGGAAGTTTTTAAGAGAATCATAGCTCCAGCTTCTGCTACCAGGTTGAGAATCGAAGAAGGAAGAGAACGCATCCATTGTTTCGTTTTTCTTTTTTGCTTGACTTTGAGAATCGATTAACGAAGATATTAGTGAAAAATAAAGACTTTTCGGTATTTATAGTGATTATGATTGGGGAATAATTTGACCTTTAATGCTTATGTGTAATTACCTATTCGCTACACGTGTAGGGGCATTAAACACGGGAAAGGGTAGTTCCGGAAACTTCTTGAAACATTGAGATCGTCGTCCTATTGAGTTGAAACTTTGCCGCGAAGCAAATGGAATATCTAAATCGTCATCAAACCAATAAGAATCGTCCACGTGTTTTGGTTTCATCAAAAGAAAAGACCAAGGACAATTTCATATCGTTTAGTCAATTCGTAAATCATGGGTCGAGAGTATGGTATTATGTCTGGTTTGAATTCTAGTTCTATTTGGGCTGAGCGCAAAGCCCATTAACAATCTCGCTCGTTTTATCCTTGCTGACAGAAAACATCACGTAGTTTCTTCCTTAACTAAATTTAAAAACGAAAACGACATACAGTCCAAGCTTCTAACGATAACAACATCTCTTTCACTTCCTTCAAAGCTCATTTCAAACCACACATTCAAACTAACTCTGCACAAAAAAAAAAAAAAAAAAAAAAAAAAAAAAACTCAGAGCAGAGGACGGAGAGAGATCTCTTCAAGAAAAATGTCAATATCCATGGCGTTTTTCTCTCCACCGATACTTCAAAACCCTAATCTCATCCCCAAGATCTCAACCTCTCTTCTCTCTACCAAGCGTTTCTCTCTCATCTCCGTCCCTCGAGCTTCCTCCGACAATGGTACGACTTCACCAGCGTCTGCTTCAGTCTCGGCAACCACCGTCGTGGAGATACCGAAGCCTGTGGCTGTGGCTGTAGAGGAAGTCCCGGTTAAATCTCCGGAAAGCTCCTCCGCTTCTGGAAACGGCGCCGTTGGAGGTGAAGAGACTGATTTGGGTACTGCTGCGACGGTAATCAAATTTGAAGATGCAAAGTGGGTTAATGGAACTTGGGATCTGAAACAGTTCGAGAAAGATGGGAAAACAGATTGGGATTCTGTTATCGTTTCTGGTTAGATCCTTCAAAAATTTGAATTCAATTCTTCAATGTTGTTACTGATTTGGAATCTAGAAAATGATAATGTCATAAATACTTGATCTTTGTTTATGCATTAGGAAGATTGTGCTTTGGTTTCTTATAGTGGTGTGTAATAAGATGAGTGATTATTGTGTAAATGTGCTGATTATGTATTTATAGAGGCAAAGAGGAGAAAATGGCTCGAAGATAACCCGGAAACGACTAGTAACGACGAGCCTGTACTCTTCGATACCTCGATTATTCCATGGTGGGCTTGGATGAAGAGATACCATTTACCCGAAGCCGAACTTCTTAATGGTGATTTTCGACAACACTTAAGATCTAAGACTTAGCTAGTACATTTAACATTTGCATTTAAATGGTTTTCTTGGTGGTACAGGTCGTGCTGCGATGATAGGGTTCTTCATGGCTTACTTTGTTGATAGTCTTACCGGAGTAGGACTTGTCGATCAAATGGGGAATTTCTTCTGCAAAACACTCTTGTTTGTGGCTGTAGCCGGAGTTCTTTTTATCCGCAAGAACGAAGATTTAGACAAACTTAAGGATTTGTTCGATGAGACAACGTTATATGACAAACAATGGCAAGCAGCGTGGAAAGAGCCAGATCCATCAACGGTTTCCTCAAAGAAGTGAACAAGTTTTTACATCTTTCATTTTCTTTTTTCGTTATGCGAAAATCTGTGAATCAATGAAAGTCTCTCTACTGAACTACTGATCTTCAGATTTGTAATCTTTCTGCTTTAAAAATCTCTGTGAAGTAGTCTCAAAGAAAACGTATCTAAGGAAAGGTCTTTGACTTGTAAAGCAGACCTCTTCCGTTTTGACGCTTGATAAATTGATCAATGGGAGATTTTTTATGCTTTCTACTGTTAATACATCATCAATTCATAGTGTTTTCAGATGGATGTTTTGTGAAAAGTTATCAAGTTGTAGTCTTCGAAAATTAATACATCATCAATTCATAACGTTTTTAGATGGATGTTTGTGGAAGAAGACATCTAGCAGCAATTGTTGTATTAGAGAGAAGTCATGCATTATCAAGTTTTGATCTTGGAATATTGATACCAGAAAAAAATCATTGAAATAAGTCATATTTGTGAACTTAATCAAAATCACACTTCAATACTTCTTCATCAACCAACCAACCTCCAAAGAATTTGGGATTTAGTACTAACGTCCTTTATAGTTTAAGACATTACTGCTCTGCTCTTATTGCTGCAACCACTTTGACTCAATTTTAAGTACAAAATGGACCATTTTAGCTTCAACTGTTGTCACTTGTCCAGGACCACCGGCCCAAAATTAGTAGGGACCTTAGGACAGTTCTATATTAGTCTTTTAGAAAGAAAAACAAAACTCTCTATATATAAAATGCAATAATTTTACCAAAAAAAAAAAAAATGCAATAATAAATTTTTATTTTAATAGATCTTAATTTTCGAAAATATCAAAAGTCTATAGGTTTATTTTTGTGTGAGAAGTTTTTAAATAGTTGGCTATCAAAACTTAAAAATAAAAATATTAGGTCCAGGTCCAGGACTTTGGCATCTCCCACTTTCTTGAAGAACCGACATGAATATTTTTTTTGTTTACTATCCTCATAATTTTTTTTTCCTCATAATCTATTTTACTATTCTCATCATCTTTTCTTTTTTCTCATAATCTTTCTACTATCCTCGTAATCAGTCTCCTCATAACTCATATCTCAATTCCATGATATATGTGACACTATTGCAACTGCAACAAGGGTTTCAGTGTATTTTATATATGGATACCACTCTTAAATAATCTACTAATTAGATCTAGCATATCATGTAAAGAATATTCATGAATCGTGGTCGTTTACTCTCCTGTTCTTTCAAATTTATCCTTCAAGAACATGCATGTTAACCACTGATATCACCTTCAAAGTCACCACACACCACATACACAATTGATCTTGTGGGAAATTCTAATATAAATACCCAGAGTTAACTTGGTCCTGCTTGGATTTGAATTATATAAAAAAAGACCATTTTCATTTAGAATTCTAAATCCAATATAAAATTTTAAACCACTTTTACTAGAGACAGAATCCCAGTTTCTAATTTATATAACATGCATGATTTGACCATTTCTTCTGGATATAGGCAAATGCTAATCCATTTATTGTTTACATTATTTGTTTTTTTGATGGCGTTGGTACTTAGTTTCAAAATTAGAGAATTTGCATGATCTGATCATGTCTTATTGATATAAAAAAAAGTAATTATGCTAATCCATAATTCTTATTTAGACCGACATTATACTATTGGATTTTTTGTTTGGCGTACGTGATTGATTAGACCACCAAAATGTGACTAAAAATATTATAATTCTTCGTTTATCCCAAAAGGTATATGACCCATATTGAAATTATTATCAAACACACTCTATATGATAATATGTATCTTGAATATATAGATATAAATACAGCAATTAGTCCCCTTGCTAGTTGGTTTATCATACTATATTTATTTTATTACGAGATCTTGAAGACTATGAGAGCTTGACATCTGTATGGATTATGAAAATGAAAGCACCAATTTGAAAATACAATTAACTACACAAATAAAATATCATTCTTAGTATATTCTTTTGAGTATGTCACATCTAGACTGATCTACAAGTATTAATTACCTACCTCTCTACAGAATTTTTTTATTAAGTCACTTTTTTTGTTTTGTTTACAGCTTACATAAATAAAAAATCTTAGCCTGAATATTTCACGTATTTTTTTAAAAATACCAAAATCACTACAGAATTGTAAGAAAACTTGTAAAAATGTAAGTTTCTTAACCAATAAAAAACGGTAACTTGAAAGTTGAAATTTAGAAAGTAAAATGTCAAACAACAATAATGGTTTTTTTTTTCTTCAGACTGTAAAAAATAAATAGAAAATGGGGTTGGTAGAAAAAAAAGAGGTAAAAATGACAAGGATGTGTTTCACACGCGTTCATACACTCACACGTGTGACGATCATCTTATAAACTCTCTCATAATTTCCCCAATCGGAGGCCTCTGAAGAACAAAAAAGCCCAGCAAAGTCTCAAGTTAATCTCAGCCGTCCGATCAATTCCTCTACCATCGTCACAGATCTTCTTCTTCGTCTCTCTCTTTCGTTTCTCAAAAATCAAAATCCCTTCCTCTCTCACCGAGCCGGCGAGCCCGTTCTCTCGGTGGTAAGTGCTCTATTCGATTCTTCATTTAAATTTCTGGGTTCGGAGATTCTCGAGCCGCTCCTACATTACCTGTTCAATTTCCGATTGCTATTCAAAATTTTGTTAATCTGATGAAATTTTTGTATCGCATTTTATTGCCGCATCGCTGCTACTTTTTTCTAGGGTTTATACAAATTCAATTATCGTGTTCGTATTTTAATTCTTTTTTTTTGGGTTTTGTTTTTTCATTGAATTATTGTAGATTTTAAAGATGCTTGTGATGATGGGAAGTAATATAAGAAACCAAGCTTTTTTACAATCTCAGAAATTGTAGTAGAATTTGGCGATTCTATTAACCTACGCAACAAGCTTCTTCTTCTTCGTTTTACTTGTCATCTGTAAATGGGTTGTTTCCATTCCACGGCTGCGAGAGAATTTCCTGGACACGAGAACCCTGTGAAGCTAGCTTCTGAGACTGCTTGTAAGTTTACTTGCACTATACGTTTCGTTTTCTCTTTTTAGCTTAAATCTACAAGAGCATGAGCATAAAGATCTCTCTTTTATCAATTGTTTGCTGATATGAGAATCTGTTTTCGCCATTTATTGAATCTGAAAAATCTGAAAAAATGGTTCTTTAGTTCATAATCTATTTGATCTGCAACTTTGTTAAAGGATGCTTGGTGTTACCTAAGTCATCACATAAACCTATTTTAATAGTTTCTTGGATCATTAGTCTAGTTTACCATCACTTTTCCATTTTGTGTTGCGCTATACATGATTTTGATGTTAAATCTCGCAGTGTGGCTAACTATCTCTTTGTTTTTCTAGTTAGTGTTAGTGAAGTTGAAGCATTGTATGAATTGTTCAAGAGCATAAGCAGCTCGGTTGTTGACGATGGCTTGATAAACAAGGTATTGATTGATAAATCTCATAGCCTTGGATTATTTCACACCTCATAGGAGAATCTTGAAGGCGTGATGTACAGTGACATAATAATATTCATTGCACTATTATCCATATTCCATACTATTTGTCAACTTTCTTGACTTTCACCAATTTATTATTGGTAATTATTGAATCTCCATGCTGAGCTGTGGGCTCCTTATTGCTCACCAAGTCTCTGTGTTGATGATAGTTGACTTGAATTTTAATTCCTTTTTTTTTATATTGGTTTGCTTTTGAAAATTGATGTTTTCTTGGCCCACTTTTGGATATTGTTACTTATTTCTCGACCAACTTGTATTGCAGGAAGAGTTTCAACTTGCTTTGTTCAAGAACAGAAAGAAGGAAAATTTGTTTGCCAATAGGGTAAATCATAAGTTTCTCAGACATTTATAACTTTGTAGTTAACTGTAAAAATCGGTATATAATGGTAATGGCCTCTTTTGCAGATATTTGATTTGTTTGATGTTAAACGAAAAGGCGTTATTGATTTTGGAGACTTTGTGAGATCACTCAATGTTTTCCATCCTAATGCTTCTCTAGAGGAGAAAACAGACTGTAAGTTGCCCATAAACGAGTTTATATCTATCGTCGTCTCTCTAAAGCCTTCCCGTTATTATTATTCATGTTGGTTTGTATATATTATCTCAGTCACCTTTAGGCTTTACGACATGGACTGCACAGGCTTCATTGAGCGCCAAGAGGTATAAAATTGTCCTGTATCTTCACATCTCATTCCAACATGATATATGTTTCAAAGATTTGGTTTGAAGCTTTCAATATTGATTCTGTATCATTTTTAAGGAAATCATAATTGTGTAAGTGATTTTGGCAGGTGAAGCAAATGCTGATTGCACTTCTCTGCGAATCTGAAATGAAACTGGCTGATGATACAATAGAGATGATACTCGATCAGGTTCACTTGTTGTTGTCAAATACAACTTGTTTTTTCTATGAAAGCAAAAACTCTTTTATAAAACCAGAGTCCTTTCCTTTTTCGTGTGAACAGACATTTGAGGACGCAGACGTGGATCGGGATGGAAAGATTGATAAGACAGAATGGAGCAACTTCGTCATCAAAAACCCATCTTTGCTTAAAATCATGACTCTTCCGTATCTCAGGTATGTTTCCTTACTGTGGAATGGTGCAGTTTTTCTAAGTTTCAGGACTTACAAATTCAATTTGCAGGGATATAACCACGACGTTTCCGAGTTTTGTTTTTAACTCGGAGGTGGACGAAATTGCTACGTGAAGAAACAAGACAAACTGGTTTATAGAGACCAAGCCGTGGGTTGGACCAAGAACAAGAAGAAGACTGATTCCAACAAATGTTACGTTTTATTTCCTTGGTTTCAGTTTTAACGAAATGGATGATTACTTACTTTTGGTTCTTTACTCTTTTTAACAGTTTTGAATATTAAGTTGTAGTTGTACGAAAAGATTAATACAAAATCTCAGTTCTCATCAAAGATTATTTGATTTTGTACATAATAATCATCCCAACATTTTTGTTCGTGTAACAAGAAACAAAATCGAAAGAAAAAAAAAAAAAAAAAACCAAAACCGCTGACTACACAAACCGGTTTGTCAATTAACCAACCAAAACAAATTGGTAATGAGAAGATTGAGGAAGAAGAAGAGGAATCAGAAGAAGAGGAAGAAACGAAGAATCGTACAGAAGCTAGCTCAAGCCTTGGTTACAAGATCAACTTGAATTTTTTTTCGGTTACAAGATCACGAATATCTCATTTTTGATTTGTTGTGGTGAAAAATCCTCGTTCACACATATCTTAACTTGTAGAACAATTTCAGGTTACGAATAGCAATGGAACATTGCATGATAGAGAATAGAACAACAAGGCAACAACAGTCATACCGCCAGTCCGCCAGAGGAGATGCAAGATATGATGGAGCAGTTCACATCAATCATGCAACAGAAGTTCTTATCGGGAGAAGATCATCAACACAAAGATAGACAATGACGAGACTCTTGATGATCATTAGCTTCGAGAGATTGGACTTGACGCTGAAGAAAAGTACTTTGGTGAAATACAATAATCACAATGAAGACTTGATTTATTACAGAATGTACACAAATATGATAATAGAACAATAAATCATTTGGAATTCGATCTTTGGGAAGAATATTGCATGGTTTATTGTAATCCTTTTTCACCTATTCAAAATTAATCTCCTGAAAACTTCACCACCGGAGAGCTTCTTCTTCTCAAATACATTGAAACCGATCAACAACGACAACTCGATGTCACCTCCGATTTCATCTTTCTTGGAATCGCGATTTCAATTTCAACCAAGGAATCCTTCGATTCTTCTTTTCTTGACATCGCAACATCTTCTGATTTCTTCTCCTAAGTCGCGATGTTGAAGAAACTTCAAAACCTCCGATTCTTTCGATTGAAGGAGCCTAAAAGTCTCTGCGCCCAACTCACACACATTTGACTCACACGTGTCTCTTGTTGACTTTATTAAACCTTCGCTCTTGAGTAGAGTCTCCAATATACTTAGAGAATACTTGTGTAAAGGACATTAGTTCTTCACCGTTTGCCATCTCTTGTGGTCCCCAAAAGCCCTTCTAACTTTAGTTAATATACATCAACCTTGGTTAGAACTTGAGTTTATGCAGAGTGTCTTTGTCATGACTTCGGTACCTTGGTCATCAAGTTCTCATCTCCACACGCATATTTAATAATCTGTAAACTTTGCAGACGTAGGAGCGAAAAACGTATAATTCAAAAAAAAATATTTAATTCCCAACAAATCATTTACTTGTTATAAGAAGAGAATTAAAAACACTATACAACTCTCTGTCTATGGCAAGTGGTACCAAGTAATGCAATGGAAGAGTGATGTGTGAATATATTAATTAATTTATTTATTTTTTTTTCAATTTCTATGATAGCTTCTACTTCTATGTTTCCTTATTTGATATTTTACCTCAGAGAGATGGAAACAAATTAATACATATATAGAAATGTGACTGCTAACAAAAGAAGCACAATAAGTAATAATAAGTAAGTACTAGGCCTGGGCATATGAGTATTCGGATCGGGTTCGGGTCGGGTCCTTTAAGGTTCGGGTATTTTTTTTTAGATTTTAGCTCCGTTCGGGTATTTTTAAATTTCGGTTCGGGTTAGGTTCGGGACTTTTCGGGTTCGGGTCGGTTCTCGACATAAAGTCCAATATCCGTAAATATCCGGAGACTTTACCGGTTCTGATTCGGATAGGTACTTTGAATACAAATTAACCTAAAAATATCCAAAAGTATCCAAAATACTCAAAAAATTAGCTCTGAATTATTCAAATAGTATTCGAATTACCCAAAATACCTGAAATAATTATAGCTATATTGCACTAAAAATATATAAATTATCCCAAAAAATATCTAAAGCACCCAAAAAGTACTCAAATTATTCAAAATCTGAAATATCTTTAAAAAAATATAATTTTGAGTAGTTGGATTATTATTAAGTATAAATATTACTAATATTTTTGAGATATATACTTATGTTTCGGGTCTATTCGGATACCCGTATTTTTTCGGGTCGGGTCCATTCGGGTCCGAGTACTTTAAAAAAAAAAAAAAACTAAAACCCGTTCGGGTCGGTTTTTCGGGTCCGAGTATTTGTGCAGAGGGCTATAAGTAACATTGACATTTTATCCCTCAACACACATCCTCACATATGGAGTATCTTTTACTTTATTTTATCAGTTTTCTGTTTTAAATCACATCACAAATAATTTTCAAATGTTATAAAATTTGAAAATCAATTAAATGTAGTTCCATTAAAAATGATAATTACATTTATTTATACATACAAATAAATAATTATGAATAATATAATAACTTTTGTAATATTTATTATAAATATGAGATACAATAATCACAATGAAGACTTGATTTATTACAGAATGTACACAAATATGATAATAGAACAATAAATCATTTGGAATTCGATATTTGGCAAGAATATTGCATGGTTTATTGTAATCCTTTTTCACCTATATGATAAAAATCGAAAAAATTCCATTTGATCTATAGTTGGCAATCACATTTTATACATCCTATTTCTCACAAGAAATTTGTTGTGAAAGATATTCAAATACGATATGATTAATTGGATCTATAAGATATTGTAAATATGTAACATGAAATATCCGTTGTAAAAATATGTGAAAAGACATATACACACGTACTAAAAGAGGCAACGAGCAGATAGCATATCAGAGGAGGGAAGAACTAGGAAACAGAGTAGGCGAAGAAAAAGAATTAAGAAACAGAGGTTTAATGCATACACAACAAAAAAAAAAAGTTAATGCACATGAAGATGCATGAATACATCAACTAATCAGCACCGTCCATTTCATACTGGAAATATAAAAACCAATCAAAACCGTCCAATTTTTCATCTAAGTCTTTCTTATTTCTTCTTACTTGGCCGCAACCAGATCACAAACACTCTGTATTACCACCTCAAAAGGACACAAACAGAAACGCTTGTAGTTTTGGTGTTTTAAGAATGGAGGAGAAAGGTTTGATCAAGCAGTTTTGGGTTGCGGTGGTGGCGGTTGCACTCTTGATTCACGTCTCAGTCTCGGTTCCGTTCGTCGTGCTTCACGGAATCACCGCTGCGTGTTCCGATCCGACGAATGCCAACTTCACACAGCTTCTCATGAACCTCTCTGGCTCTCAAGGGTCATGCTTGTAAGTCACTTTCTTATTTTTATAACGATTGGATTTTTACTTTTTAATTGCCTTGCCGCTCACTCATCTCCTTCCTCTGTTCTTCAATCTCTTCTTCTTCTTCTTTCTCTGAAACTTATTCTCTCTCTCTTTTTCTTTACTTTTCTTTACTGTTTTTTTCCTTCTTTTCTTTACTTTGAATTATACAATCAAACAACGTACACGTAGAGAAAGAAACAGACTTGTTAAAGATAGATATGTATGTTAATGGCTGAACAAAATCCAGCCCCTTCCTGTAACCTGCAAAACCTTAAATCACCTCAAGAACCCATGCTCACTCTCATTCTCTCACGTTAGTAAAAGAAAGAAACAGAGAATAAAAGTAACGAACACAAGATTTGTTAACCCATGTTCGACTTATCGGTGTGATATAGTCTACGTCCGGGGCCGGATCATTCCAGGCAATTTATATATTGATTCAGAAACTCAGAGATAATTCCAAATAACTTAGGAAATAAGTTATCTCTTTAGGATGTTGCCTAAGAGATAATCACAAACAAGATAT